GTTTTTTGTATGTATCATGTTTATTATGTTTTGTATTTATATTTGTATTTTTTTGTATCAGGTTTTCTTATTACCCACGAATTTGAGCCGTTTTCCCCCATCTTACGGAAACTTCACCCAGAAGAATATTGAACTTACTTATTATGCACCAAAATGGAACATTTTAAATCGCTGATGACGGAATTTTTTCTTTAAAAACCTTATCTTTTACAGAAACTCCACTTTCCCCTATCACGGTTCCATAGATTGATTTCAAGGCAGCACAATCATCACCACTAAGTCTTCGCACCTCATCGAGGTCACTTTGTGCCTAGGTGCGAGGATAGCTCGATTAGGTGCGATCATACGTTTGTTCCCACAGCCCAATGAGACAACTATATCAACGTATTTTTTGGATTTGGGAAATTAAGATGAAGAGTTAAGATGAAAACGCTCAGGAAAGCATATACTAAAAAGCCCACTTTCAATTATGAATATTTTTTGACAGTAGAAAATGACATAAGTCTCACTTTCCTTGCCTCTCCTTCGCTGATTTTTTAAAGTAATGAACAAAAGTCCAATGTTTGTATTTGATGAGCATTGCTGAGAACTGTGCTCGCTCCTAATCTACCCCTACCCGAAATTCAAATTACCACAGTTCAGAAAAATGAAGCGAGTCTCTTAGCATGCTTTGAAGATTCAAGTTCACGTTAATGTTTTTACTGAATGCATTTCATGAAGACTTCTAATATGTAAGTGATAACTGGAAACTAGAATCCTTTCGAACTACTCACTGCATTGCCTCATCCAGTTCTGTCATATTCACATGCACCGTTTGACAGTCAGTCAGTAAGAGTAGGAACGTACTCAGGACCTCTAGTGATACCTGAATATGGAGAATATCGGGAAAGCATAATCTTGATTCACAATGTGTTAGTTGAGGATTGTTTCAGATTAACTTGAAATGCTTCTTTTACTAAAGCCAATCAGTGATGGAGGGGAATAGATACATTTTCGTTTCCCTATCCCTGAAACGCCCTTTTACAACTTCCTATAAAGTATCAAACAGTGTGATTTACAAAATATGGTTCAGGGATGTTCTTTTTAAACTGCTGCTGAGATCATGGAATCACAGTACGGAGAATTTAGAGCTTACTTTTGAGGTGCCATCCTGCACTTTTTCTGAACTGCATGTAGGTCCACCGAACTAGTTTGGTCCAGAGTGATGTAGGTTGATTTATTCAGGTACGTTAATATTATAGAAACGTTGTCGCCCACTGTCTTCTTTTTTCTTTCTACCAGCAAATTCGGATCAGTGTGAGGATTTCGGACCATGGCTTTTCCCAACAAATATAATAAAATCATCTTATATATAATACTAGACGCCTGACTTAAGGTCCAAAATCTTCAGAAGTAACTTTCGGCGAAAACAATTTCTTTAAATGAGATTCTACTCAAATTAATGTTCCTCACCCTGCTTGCGCAGCCTACACTAACAAAAGGAGCTCTGACCAGCTTACCGTATCGTCGGCTATTCGTTTCCATGCCGATCCACATGCCGCTGCAGACTTGTACTTTCGTCTACAAGCTGCTCGAGCTCCTTGAGAACAGTCACAAGCCACTCTCGTTCTCAGCGCTATCGGGCGTGGTCGATTAGATTCTAAAAGTTGCTAATGCGGAAACAGATACGAGAACGAAACTTCTGTTTTGGGTGAATACGTTCATGTGGGGAACAGAAAAGCCGTTGAAGACATGTTCTACGCTAAGACCTGGTTGCTAACGAACTTATAAGAAAGTTTTTAGGCCTTTCTTGCTTCAGTGCTAGGCCGATTAACAATGACTCCTTACCATCACAAACTTTCCAGCGTGTCGGAGAAGGCGCATCGTTGGCTTCAACGATGAAGTCAATCGCCATTCGTTGTATATCGGTTGAGCCATCAGGGAGAAATAGGTACGGTAATGGAACGACGTACGCGTCACACCCCTTCGACGTTGCCAAGTGTTGCTCCCATTCGACCCCAATCCAGAACGATGTGTTTACTCCAACCGAGCGAGCAGATGGTTTCTGAAATGTTTACTATAAAAACTCACTCCAATGAATGTTCCATCATTGAAAAAGATTTGTCTCACCAGTATAAAGACGTCATCTTCATAGGGATCAATCGAGACTAAACCGGGAGTGGAACCAGTGACCGTGGCTAGAACTCGAGTGTTCGACCGATTGAATGATGGAGGTTGGAGTTCAATGTATGGAGTGCGCATCTAAGAATGGCTAATATCAAAAAGTTGACAGATTATTTCGAACAAAAATTTGTCAAAACAGAATAGAAACACTTGTTTACCATGTTGATTTTGAATCCCCTCGGATTTCTTTTGCTAAAAATCATCATCCCATCCTGGATGTGCTTAACCCTCCAGAGGTGCCACTACCAGCTTCGCCTATTTCACCAGGGAATCAAGGCATCAGAATGGTCGACTTACTATAAATGGCTGCAACCAACGAATTTTTCCGCATACGTGCCAAACGATTTGCGTTCCTTGATCACAAAATCTTCCACGAGCTCCGATACGCAAAAGACTCAGATACCAACTGAGGATATATGGAAATATCCTCAATTGGGGGCTGCGAATTACCGTCTTCAACTTCTTGAGACTGCAGCCCTGACCATATTAATATGCCCCTGATTAAAACAATTCTTTCAGGGGTGGGGCTGCGACAAATTTGATACAAATCAGAGCCCAATGGGACCTCAGGATTATCCAGTGAGGCTCGAAAGGCAGGGGCGAATGTTGGGTTTGAAAACCGTGATCGCAACGAAGCGCTGCTACACTTGCTCCCAAACGGAACATTGGGTGGAGCAGACAAGGTTCAATTTCATGCGATAACAGCTTGGCCTGCGCAGTTGCCGACTAAATTCATCAGCACGAAATTGTCAGAGAAAACCCCACTCAACGTTGACCGAATAATCAGCCTCAAATGAGGAGTCCAGTAGGCTGCACCGTTTCGGAATTAGCGTGATTTGAGACACTACTGCCTACAACGAAGGAATTGAATTTGCAATCGTCGGCTACGGGGGATGATCAAGATAATTTACCCAAAAATTTCTGTAGTTATGATATCAGATTTCCGAATTTCATAGTTCCTACGGAATTACCAAATTTGTAGCTTTCACTTCCATTACGGACACTCCTTCTTCGCCAATCGTCAGAAGAGAACGTGGATCAATTGCTTGCATAGCTACACAAAACGACGTATTCATAGGACTAATCTGAAAGGTTAGGTTAGGTTAGTACATAATGAGGTTAGTACCCGGCTTGAGCATGGTTTTTTTGGGTTTTGCTTGAAACTCACGTATGCAACCTCAGAGACGGTACGATGATTTGGGGCCTTAGCGACGATCTGATAGAACCCCTCGACGAGAGAAAACGACGCAAATTCTTCTTAAATACATAGGTAACATTTAGACCTGAACATTTATATGTACTGTCAAAGAGCGTACTGTTCAGTGGTAGATTGCTTTTCACAACATCGACACCAAGGGCTGTGTTCGATACACTGAGTACAGCTGTCTCTTGAGTGGTAGCACCGTAATCGTAGGAGTCCTTCACACAGATGCTAACGTCGAATTTTGTTATTGGAGCGATGAAGAAGAGGGGGATCCGGACGACCACCTGAAACCAATCGGTACAAAATCTGTTACTATGGAAAATGACGAACGCTTGCAACACTGCTGCTTATATTCTGTGGTGACGCACCGATCCGTCGTCAACTCCCTCCACAACTTTTCATTTGCTAAGATTCATTTTTAGAAAAATATATTTTAGGTGTATAAGGTTTCACTTGCGCATATAGAAGAGCTGAGGCCATAGGAACCCTTGGGTAGGTGAAATCAAGTACAAGCAGATAAATAAATGTCATCTGTTATTAGAGGTGGAGGACTACAAAAATGACGTAGCAGTTAGTAAGGGAGGAGGTGGATTCATAAGGAATGTAGGACGAGTTACCCAGAAAGGGAAGAGTTCCTCGATATGATGCAAGTACCAATTACAGAGCAACTAGAAGTATATAGTGCAGAACGTAAGGAATTGCGATGTATAAGTTGTGGAGGCCTACAGAAGTATTTTCTCGTGTTGCTCACCACCGTGAAAGATGTATGACTCCCAGGCATAATACAGCCCAACAGATCAGCAAGTTATTGAAAACCTACCTCTTCATCTGCAACCAGGAGCAAACTGGTGTTCTTTCGATCCTTATGATCAGCGTTTTGCCCGAAAGCCACTTTGATTCCTACAAACATAAAACATAAAAATCTTGTCTTTGATGATGTTTAGGAAAACTCTTGTTGGCTTACTGTCATAATTTGTGTCGCTGGTAATTTGATCGATATCTGGTAGGGTGGATATGACGAAAACTGGTTGCGTATTGTCGCTTGAGGTCAGTTTCAGTGGCGCTCGAAGATGAACTCCCATGCGATGAATTACAACCTTAATTTCCTTTTCTATAGTGGAGAGTTCCTCTGTTGCCAGAGCCAGCCGACAGGCTCTCAGAATTTTTAGCGACAGAAGTATGAAGATGAGCTTACAGTCCACTTCTCTCGTATTCAAAAAGTAAGGCAAAGTTCAGGAAAATCAAGAAAAAAATCAGAAAGTTACCTCAAAAATTTTCGACTGGACCGATTCGATAGGTAAAGCAATGGCTGAAGGCACAGCGATCACATTCGGAACCAGTGCACTGAGCTGATTCCTTAATGTTCGTTCAGTTAGGCAGGAACGGTTCAGTGAAGAAGGTGCTTATATCAAACTATATCATACGACGTCATATTATATCATATCACATCATATCATAACATATCATATTATATCATATAATATCATATCCGCAGCTGTCGAGATTACTACATGTGTTCTTTCATTTCAGTAGAGAAATTCAAAATCTTTTTGAGATTTGTTCTAGTGAAAGCCTTATTTCTGATGGTCATTAGGAACAGCAACTGTGACCTTGAGTTTTCACAGAAGAGATGGGCTGCAACACACGAACAATGCAGGGCCCTAATACTCATGCTAGTGAGCCATTTTCCAGTTTGATTCGAGTTTTGAGGGAGTTGAAAAATGCCTACCTCCACAATTCTGTTTTTCCATCACAACGCAATAGCGAGACGGTCTCCTCTGTCCAACCTCGGGCTACTTGCTCCATTGCGTACAAATCTTCTTCTACCTGAAGGAGCTGTTGACAAATAAACGTAAGAATCCCACGAAGGATATTCAGATAGCTGTAGAAGAGCTCAATTCATCGAGAGTAATAAGGTCGCCTCAAGTTGGCCTACACCTCCCTACATCCATTTTGGTCAGGACGCAAACAACTTGCGTTTTCAACTGGAAAACTCGGATCAAGCTGTTCCTGGTAATGACCTGTGTATGCTTGCTCTACAATGCTATTCGAGCTATCTACAAGATGCGCCAACAACCCAACTGCAGCAGACCCGGAAATCGAGTGTAGTGGCTCTTTTCTGATAATGATAGAGCGATTATTTTCTGATCACTGATTATTTTATATTTGGAATATTTGAGTAATAGGCATATCCCACAGGAAAACTATCAGGGAGAAGTATGTATGTACTTGACAGTACAACCAATAAGTCCTTTTGTATCCACCAAGATCTGCTATTGGATAGCCTTTCTCAGCCCACTTGCTCCCCTTCAATAGGTAATTTTCAGGAAAAGGTGATCACAAACTGAGGAAATCTCTGGAATTTACAGAGCTCTTTCTTCTCTCTTGCTCAGGATTAATATATGAGCAAACCCATCATTAATAACCTCATACGTACAACAACAGAAAACAAACAATGCCTCCGATTTAACCAACACCATGAAAGTGAAAAAGATCTAGACTCTATAGAGACTGCTTAACGGACGCAAGCTTAACGGGCGCAATTTCACAGAGACCAGAATTATTCATTCACCTTTTCTATGGTTACGGTACCATTTGGTGGTCTAAGCATGACGGCATCACATTGTTCCACGTTCCGTACAAGAGCCCCAGTGGCACTTGTATCAACCAGAAAATGTAAAGGTGGCACATCAAAAGCGACTCCAGCTGATATTGGAGCCATTCCGGGATGTGACGCTACCTGAAAACCAAACGAAATTCCTCAAGCAAAGCATGCATAAACAGAGCGCTGGCTAACCACTGTATAGGCTCCGGAATCGTCAGGAATAAAATCGTACGAGAATGAGTCACCATTGGATCTGACAATAATCTGCCTCGGTTCCTCTTGATCTCTCCGCTTTATCCAGAGTTTCACTGGAGCAGAGAAATTTCCCTGAAGAAAAGCATAAATCTGATCAGCTCGTTCTTTGTCTTCCTGATTTATGCTTCTATACATTAATGAAGCTGTTATTGAAAATACAGGACAGCCTTCTCCCAACATCCTGATACATTGAAAACACCGGAAAGAATCTCCTGGACGTAGAGTCTGGATTGTGTAATGGATGGAAGTGCAACGCCCAGAAATATGTAGGAGATACTGGTTCAACATTGCTCGAAGCTGAATGAAATGAAGCTAACGAAGAAACTAAGGTCCATTATCCCATTCTACGGTAATCTCTATGAAGCCAAGTCCAGCTGACACCGGCCCCACTATTAGTTGCTGGGTGAGTTCGAGGAATCAACGTGGCTGAACAGTCCCTCTTTGGATCGCGGGGAGCCCAGATTGTCTCGGACTTCAACAGGACTGTAGAGAATTTCAATAGGGTATTTACGAAGTGTTTTGATGCGTTTTAGGCTCAAAAGAAGGCGGTGATACTGATTGTGAGACATCAGCCTGGTAAAACTTCAATAAAAGGCCTGAGAAAACATCTTCAAGATATCAATTTACATAAAAAACAGTCATGCCAAGAGCCATAGAAAGCCGCAGGTGAAAAATAATCTTGATGGTTCTATATTTAAATTGAGGGCATCGAATGATCTAGATGAGATCGTAACTGGACTAAGCCCTTCAAGTTCTCACCTTCGCTTGACGGAGCTTCCCAGTTATGGTCAGCGCGCTAGTTCCTGGTTGTTTTTCAACAGCAGTCACCTCAGCTGTGTATGATGGCTCCACAGCGACTTTCCATGAAATGCTACTGCTACCTGCAACATTTATGCATCTTTTTTCTCTTCTTTGAATCTTGAGACTATGACGCTAATATGGTCTACTCTACAGGCTGATCGCATACCTTCCGTCCGAAGTCCTGAGTTGAGGAGGTTAGTAGAAGCGCGATTAGTCTACTGCCAATTTTACAGGTTTTGTTATTTTTTTTTGTTGTTAGTACACAAATTCATATCCACTGAACGCAACTACGTTCAAAATATCGGTTCTACTGAAGAATTATCTCATCTTACTATAGGCAAGTATAATTGATCTGTTTGATAGCCATTTTCCCCTGTCTACCCACCACACAGGGCAGAATGGATATGTTGATCCATCGATTTTCCCGTACTTGGCACGCCAAACAGAAAATCTAGAGTATAGACCCTCATTCATCGCCAGAACCATGGCTCGGCTCTCCATTCCACGTTTCGGAATGCGAAGTGGAATATTAGCAGAACTGTTCTGAACTGATTGGTGAGTAGAAGGAAATGCTCGGAGTGGTAGCACTTAAGGAAATGGAGGGAGAAGTGAAGAAGTAGGGAACATTAGGTTCCGCGCTAACCTTTTCGAAGCTGCGCTCTCTTGACATACGCCATTTAAAAATTGGACTTCACGAAAGCGGAATGAGCTCGCTGGCAGCGTCATTCGAAGCACTATCAAAAAGATGATGCTCCGAAACCCCCTAGTGAGAAGGGAAATCCGTAGAACCGAGCTTTTCAATGAATGACAACCAGGGACGTTGTTCACGTCAAGAAATTGAAGATCAGGACATCTTATGTGATGCTGTGATGACCGTTGGACCAGGGCGGTTGCAAGGATGATCCACTGGCCCACTCTGGCCGCGACAGGTACGATCGAAGACGCTTCTGGTGCCTATTCAAAAGAACCGATCATCAGCGGGACGACAGGTGGTACAGGTGACCACAATCGGAAAAAGTTGAGAAGGACACCCTAGTTATGCTGAATATGTTATTAACACCATTGCTACTTTTTGGAAGGTCTCATTGGGAATTTTGGAAGATAAATGAGTTGTAAGACATGGAAGGTAGTTACTCCAGACGCACTCACATGCCTGTTCGTGATTAGCACTGAAATGGAACTTGAAGAAGCACTAAAAACTACGATCACTTACCAGACAAGGAGCTAGACGTGACCGTGATCTCATAAGTTCCATTGGATCCTAGTGGTTCATCCCATGCAATAATTCCTCTGGACGAGTCGAACTGTAAACCGTCGATCGTGGAGTTCACTCGATGTAAAGATCCCGGCTGTAAGGAGCGCTCTTTTCTCATGCCATCGAAAATGTTCAGACTGCAAAAAAGCTTTCGTGGCGCTTACCATCGTAGGTAAGACAACGAGGTATGGTGTCCCTTCAAAAGCAACGCTGGCCTTTTGATTCTCGATGAAGTGCCAATCGATGGACGGTATGATTTCTGAAATTCACGCCATTTCAGCGTTGACTATTACTTGAGAGAAAGTGCTAAACAATGTCTGCAATCCCTTGACGAGCGTTTAGGACCCTCTCCTCTGCAAACCGACATGCAGTGATTCGACTTTAGCCGAGTGGATCTTAAATCAAGAAAAATTGAGCATATTAATAAAAAAACAAACCAATTATTTCACAGTTGATTCCAGTGGTGCCTTTGGGGCATACACAAAGGGGACCAATGCAAACTCCCTTGCACAACACTGGTGTGCAGGAATCAAATACCGTGAAGTGGATCTGAGTGGAATCATCATCAGTCAGTTTCTCTCATAACCAACCACGGACATACCACAAGATGATCACTGATTACTGCAGAAAAACTTACTGGTCGAACGTCAAAATTTGGAATGACAGAGATGGAACCTTCTGGAGCTAGATTGAACAGGTGACGACCAAGGTTAAGATCTTTGGGCACGCGACATCTGACCACCGAGGAGCTGATACGACGTCCTTCAGCGTACGAGGCGCCAAAAATGCAAGTGTACAATTGGGAAGGTGTTCTGAAGGCAATCTGTAAATGTCTGGACTATCGTATAGGACGATACTGTAACTTGCTTGGGAAAATCGACTCCAAACACGTTCACAATGACGTTTGTGTCTTCACGATCGGCTGTGGATGGCAGGATGTACAGCACGCTGCTTTTGACCTGACAATTGCCCGATCGACAGATATCGCATGCAGCTCCCGACCAGCCTCGGGAGCACGAACACGTTCTTAATTTTGTTCTATATAATTTGAGAAGAACTGATGCCTTTCAGTACCTGGTTTCGCGCTCACATGTCCCATGAACACAGTCGAAATCACAAGTTTGGCACACTGGTCCTCGACAGATGGAACAGTCCTGGAAAATATTTTCATCACTAATTTCTTTGATGGTCATGAAAGGAAGATGTGAAATCCAGACAAGTACGCACAAAGTTCTCGATAAGAACTTTCCAAAGCTCCTAATCCTGTCACAATCTTACCTTTAATGGAGACTTTCCCCATCCAATGACTTTAGTAAAATTACAGATTACAACGGCTGCTTACAACTGGTTACAAAAATAAAGTAAACACAGCAATATGTATAGGAAATTCTAGAGGGTGGATTTCTCCACGTGAATTTAAAAAGGAAATGGGACACCTACATCATCTTAAGGCCACAAACTTTTATCATCCATTTAATCTACGAAGGTCAGCAGCTTCCCTTTTGCGTTGACGACTTGCTCAAGATAGTATACTTCCCGTGTACTCATGATTTTCCCTTCGACAGCCGTTCCAAATATCTATGTAAAACCAAGACACACTCTAAGGGAGTGAGCAATAACCGCCTCGTAAAGGCTGCATCGTTCTCGAGGTTGTCGGCACAATATGTTGGAAATTCGAACAGATGACTGACACGGGCCCTGAACCATGGCAATGAAGGAAAGCAGTTTCTGGCCACAGGCATGTCGCAGCCAAGTTTTTATGCAATTGCACACAACTGGAATCTCGTTCAAGCATCCATGTACTCGCCGAAGTATTGTCACTAAACGGGCACTCGAAGAACTTTTGAGTCGCTTTGTTTTTTGTGATTCTCCTGCTGCTCTCATCCTCAGTGAGTATGAAGTGGGCAATGAAAACGCTGGAAGAGATTCGTGATGGATTCAAATTAGAGAAGCCAGCATTTCGGTTCTAGAACGATAAAATTCAGTTAGTTGTGGAGCAGAAAAAAAGACGAACACAGGCGCTGGCAAAAGTGACAATTCAAGGTAAACGTGGCTGTTTATAGATAGAAGTTGCGGAATGCAAGTCAAAGCTGCCGTAGCGAATACTGTGAGCTTAGAGCTAAGCAATTTGTAAAAAAGCTCAGCAGTCCGAAAGAGGTTGAATGTAGTCAGAGCTAAAATGAGACCTTAATGAGGAAGCCAGTTGAAAAAGACGTAGATGGGACGAAACTTCGATGCGGTCTCCAACGAAGAATCTAAAACGGTGTTCACCCAGCTAACTTCGACAGTAAACGTTCTAGCATTGGACCATACGATATACGAAAATTGAGAGCTGCTAAGGGGTTAACACCTACCCCTGGAAAACGAGACTCCTTCTCAGAAAAAGCCGTGTTCAGCGTTTTCTGAAATTTCCTTCGCGATGCATTCGAGTTTTATTCAGAAGGACTTCACCGTAGCAACATATCCTGTTCTTGATAAGCTTATTAATCCGCACTGACGTTAGAAATCGACAATGACAGCTCCTGGTCAGGTTCCAATAGATGGTGCCCTTGTTCGTGGTGTTGCGCTACTCCTGTTATACTGTTTCTGTTCTGATATGAAGTTTCCTCCCAACCTCGGCAGCAGACATCTCCTGGCGACTTGGCCAGTCGATGCGGATACAGTTACATTTCTTCCAGAACGGTAATCCAGTAATTGCGATCATTCGATCAGTAAAGCATATGGGTAATCTGCTCGTTCCAAGGATGCAATACAGTCACAAGAGGAATTCATGGGATGCAAGGCCAGGTATCAAAATTATGACCATTCTTTGTAGCTACCCTATAATTTGCGTTCTAGCAATGAGTCAAGCTAAGATGTATAGAATCCAAAATTTGTTGCTTTTGAAGGATTGATTTCAGTCAAAAACTAATAGACTTGTGAAAGGTTGCTGGTGCGTACCTCTCCTTGATATCCACCAAAACACTGACACCGATTTGGTGCCACACAACGACCATTAATGGAACAGTTTTGACAAATGGGAAATGAGCACCTGTAAACGCATTTTCAGCACCACTGATTGAACTGTAAAATAGGGCCAACCTTAGAAAATTACCTTGAACCCCTCCATCCCTCCTCGCACTGACACTTTGAGGAGACACAAGTTCCATGGAGACAGGAACCATCTACACATCCTATTTGATCGCAGAATTGACCTAAACATTCAGGAATTTCGAAAACGATTACTGAATTTTCCGCCGTAACTGGGCGAATCTCACCACTCCATCCCGCATTGCACTCGCATTCGTCTCTTGACACGCACTTTCCATGACCGTGGCAATCAAATCGACAGATCGGAGTCGAGCAGTCGGCCGAGGTCCAACCTTTAACATTCTTTTTATCTTTCTTTAGAAGGTGATGTCCAAAGAAATGCTCTGGTTTCGTGATAGTTGAAGACCAGCAGCTTTGGTTTTAGAGATGGTCGTCTCAGCATATTGACGGTTTTAGAGCTGAGTGCTGTCGAACAGAAATCAGTCGCAACTCGAACGATGACCATTTTATACTCGAAAGTGGGCTTTCTATCCATTGCTTTTCCTCGGCCTTAATAGTTAACAACTCACGGCACGCTACTGTGTGATACAGCTTTTCGTCCATTTGTATTTGAAGACGATAAAGCTCCAGCTGGATTCGATTACTACTTAGTTGATAGGTATCTATGGATTACTGAGATCACAGAACGCTGTTATGACTTTCGAGGTGTAACTACGGTATATAAACCCAGCAATTGTCAGTTACTGGTTCTCTTCCACCAGTTGTCTTATGGTTAGTTGACTCACTAATAAATCTCCGTAATTTCCGTAAAATTCGTAACATTAAGTGCACTAAGGAGGAAATAGATCGCAGTAACCTCTAACTTACCATCATAACAAATACATTTGTTCAGGATGTCACAAACTCCATTGCCACTGCAGTTTCCTGGACAGCCAATCATGATCGAGCAATCCAGACCAATGCGATCGGCTGGACAAATACATACTCCACCTGAATAATTTAAATTAAAAATCATGCTGCGAAAAGCTTTAAAAATAAATGGAAAAGGGCTTAACTTAACCAAGATTCAGAGATTCAGTTTTTTGGCTTTGACTACCCCCCCCCCCCCCCCTCAGTGGGCAACATGTTGAAAATTCATTACGAAAGCATGGGAAAACACTTCACTGGACGGGCAGTGCCACTAACAGTTCAGCCACGCACCTGCACAAGTACCAACGCCAGAGCAGTAGCTCAGATGTGAGCATTGTCCATTATCTGGAGTGGGAGATAACGGCTTTTTCGCAAGCTGAAGGTGAGGAACCTCCAACGATCCTGAATTGAAATGTTTAAAGCCGTAGTTCCCGACAATGTTGAGGTAGCCTTTTCATGTCAATGTAGAGTACTAGAGTACTGCATCGGTAAGGAAGAAAGCAAGAAGTTCACCTACTTTGCAAAGAATTGGTCTTCTAAAAGTAGTGGTAATAGACTCTGTACACAACGGCGGGAATGGCATGTAAGGGGTGTTTGGACGAGATTTCACTTGCTTCATCATCGCAAAGAGCTGAATCTATCATGCTGAAATTGTCCAAAACCGCCTTTCCCTGTTGCATGGGTCGTTGAACAAGTTGTTTGAACTTCCAACATGGGAGTTTTTTGAGGTAGTGCAGCCACTACATTTAAAACTCGTCCGCTATGGTTGCGGCACTCAAATGATACCATCTCTATTTCCATAATACGATCTACCTAGGCCGTTTACCAATCTGACAGCGCCACCTATGGTGTACTGGAATGCCATAGGTTCATCAGAGGGACATGTCTCAGAAAACATTTTCATTATGAGCTGTGAGTAGTGCGACATTTTATTCATATAGCATATAGCGCCGTTTATTAGTTCGTTCTAGAAATCGCTACTATTATATCAATAAGTTAGCCAATCCCAATGATGATGCTGATGTAAAAAGCATGCAGTATGGTTTTATTGGGAGGAGTCTAATTTTCCGTGCAACTTCCAGGAAACACATGTTATCAAAAGTGGCATAGCTGTGAGCGAACTACCTTCAGGTGCTTTGATTGCCTTGGTCATGTCGGATGTAGCCCAATCGTTGTCCGCAGCTTGCAGTTTCTGGAAAAANCACGCTCAGCGCAAACTCTCGCTATGCCCATAGTTTAGCTGTTTGCCCTTGGCACTCACCCATGATCCATTTGAGCGCACATCCAACTCGTGAGCTGAGAGCGGGTTCGCAAATTGGTTACCGTCAATACGATAATATGGTGAAGTCAAGACCACTGACGCAACTGAGTTGATATTATCTGAAGAAAAGCTTATGGAAGGAAAAAACAAAGCAGTATCCCAATCAATCTCACAAAACTCATATCTACCACATAAGAGTGTCGACGGTAACTGACAAATTACTGTACCTCTGAGCTGGTTCGCTCTGAAGGACCCGTTGGCGGCATTGGGTCCTTGCATTGACAGCATGACCGAATATTCACCACTGTTTTTCACAAACTCATTCTTCTCAATGACAATTGGTACGGACGATGACTGAAATTCGATAGCAATACGTGATTACTGGTTCCAACCAATACTTTACCTAGGAACTTTAGGATTTGAAGAAAACCAAGCTCATCTGTCACAACTTACTCCTACTCGTGGGCTGGCGTTCATCATCAATACTCCATTTCGTCCATCGTTGTTGTTTCCTTCAAAACGGTTTCCTTCCACTCCCACACTTCCACATTCACCCACGTCGATATTAACTACCGTATCCTGGTTGCTCACAAATGTCGTGTTCCTCAATCGGCTCTGCGACATCTGCTCATGGCACTGAAAAACTGACGAAATGTTTTAGAAAGATAGTCCTTGTGTACCCCCATTTAAAAGTCGAGGAGGATGCAGAACGCGTATTGGATCTACGATAATCAAGCGAAAAGGTTCTCAGAATCCCATGAAAACGACAAGCCCGACTTTGTCAAAATTTCCCAGAAAATCTCTGATCCTATCATCGAAAACTGCTAGTGCTACGGTGAGAAAAAGTATAACGGTCCCCTTCTCCGGGTTCAGGAACATCCCTACAACCTGGAGTGAATTCCTCCCAATGACCTCACCTCGACTCCGATAATCAAGCTTGGAACGGTGTTTCGAGCGAAGAGTGACTGATCGATGTCGATCTGCTCCACCCATCCACTGCTGACGAGCACACCGGCATGGCCACGAGTTTGATCGGTAACGCTGACATTTTGAAGTGCCAGCGATTTTAGCGGTAGCAAAGGGAATTCGACTACATGAATCGAATATGACGAGCCATTTGTTACCTACAAATGAGTTATCATTTCCCTAATCAAGATCGATATATCGGTCTAAACTGTACAAACAAACAAACTATATGTATATTCAATGACGCTTACAGAAACGTTCTCTATACGAATGTTTTCGGCCGGCGAAATGAAATCGATGCCAGAACCCCAGCCATCTCGAATCGCTACATTTCTGAAAACAGAAACGTACAGAATCGTTCAGGTATCGTTAGGTCGCTGCATCATCCTAGTATTCTCGACTGTTTTTTGCTCAAACTCGCCTTTTACGAGCTTCAAAGATTCCAGCAAAAAAAGTGAATTCAGAAGCTCGTTATAAAGATCATAGCATCTGAGGCTCAAAGACAAGGTTTGCTATAAATGGTCTTGTTACCTCCCCCTAAGATGAATCTGTGCCCTTCCCCTCCAATAATAACATCTGGGATATTGTCGCATCGATAAACGACCTCGACAGGACGTCATAAGAGCTCCAAGACCGGCTTGACCGACGTTCACACTCAAATGTGGCCGTATTATGACGATCTTCTTTGCACCCTGCACAAAGAAGTGTTAGAACGCCGCGTAGAAGTAAGCCTACGTGGGAGGCAATAGACGGTTACAGAAACACAATCTCGTACAACCCTCGTTTTTACAAGGAAAGAACACTTGGCCGCAGTGGCCTTTCAGAATGAGATTTGTACTGCCTCTGGGGGTTTTAAACGCTGATCTCAAATGTGTGTTCCAAATCTGCTAAAAGTTTGT